ACGCTTAGTCTTGTCTGCCTTGAAAATCTGCTTTCATCTCACAAAAACGCGAAGTCTCAACAAGAAATATGCTCATATTCTCAATATGTCAACAACACAAGACACGTAAAACATCGACAGAACACAAAATGTAGGTAGTATCACATAGCCTTTCTCCTCCTAGAATTGAGTTAGTGTTCGCGCTTGCAAATAATAAACACTCAAAATCACAAACCTCTTTTGAGAACAGCCACCTATGCTATCAGCCTGTGCCAAACGTGTCATCTGCTGGCGTATGCACTTTGTCTTCCTAACAGCAGGAACAACTACGTCATCGGCTTGCACAGCGGAGCCCGATGCACTACCAACATCAGAAGGGAGGAGCGCCAGCTGTTCTGAAACCTGGGCAACCTCAACAGTGGAGAGGATACTGGTGGTGCCAAAACCTGAGCTGTTCCAGCAGCTGTAACCACTGGAGGATCAGGCGGGTATGTAGAGGAACTGAAGTTATACTTTTCCGTTGATACCGGGAAGGGGGCAAAGACGGTAATGGGGTGGCAATAGCAGATGTACTGCGGAAGCGAAGGCGAGGGGGTGTCATGAGGCCAGACGTGGATGTACTGTACATCTGTTTCCTCCATGAGGTAATGGGAGTTTCCGGCATTGGACTGGATGATAAGGTAAGATCTGGCAATGAGTCTCCCATAGTGGACGCTGGGGTGGTTGCACGGATGATAAGGAGTGGGCAGGTAAAATGAAATTGAAGTTGGATGGGGGTGCTGGGTACACTGGTGTCATAGGGATCAAAAGCCATGGTGTCGGTGGTAAAGCCAGCGGGTATTTGATTGTCAAAGGTAAGGCCGGCGCTTGTGTCTCCCATAGTGGATGCCGGTGTATTTTCGCTGGATGACAAGGAGGGCAGGTAAAGCGAAATCGTAGTTAGATGCTGATGTGCTGGTAAAGCTGGCGTCATATGGATTGAGGGACATGGAGGTGTCAGTGCCAAAGTTGGTGGACATTTCATTGTCAAAGGTAAGGCCAAGGGGGTTGCTGAAAGGCAGAGGTCCCTGCATCTGAGACGAGTCGACACCTCGCAGGGTGTCCGAGAGTGTGAGGGGGGCATGCAGGGCAGTTCCATGTGATGCTGGAGTCACGGTCGATGACGCACCCTCCAGTGACCCAGATCCTTCACTGAGGGAGATGAAATCGCGGGTGGTAGACTGTTTGCAAGTGAAGTTGTGGGTGATAGACTGTTTGTGAGTGGGGCGACGACGTCCATGGCACGAGACTTTCTGACATGCTCGGCTATTGAATCCAATGAGTATGTGTGACCGACCATCAAACGGAAACGTTACTCACGAAACAGTGTTCCAACAAATTCCAAGTATGGATTGAGATGCTTCTCAATGAATTTTGGGGTGGCTTGCTTCCAATTGTGTCCATCTCCATTCACTCCTGTATGGTAACTAAGAAGTCTTGAGCATTCTGAAAATGAACGAGCGAATATGAGACGCACCTCATCGCATTTAGTTTGCCACCAAGATGAGGGTCAGGCCCAGCACCAATAACAGTCCATTCCCACCCTGTCATGTCCTTGATGACTTGCAAGAACTGCGCAATGGGAGCAGTACACTCCTGGAGAGGCTGGTAATAATGTATAAGCAATGGGAAATTGGTGTACGGGCAAAAGCCGAAACTTATTGCATACTGTTTATTGGTAGGTGCAGATTTTCATTTTGCACATTAAGTGTGACTTTGCTTTGTGCTCTTCTCGGACCTTCTCCTCACACAAAGCTTGGACTTCTGGCGGTGCGGCTTCGTATGCTTCGCGTGTAAGTTTTCGAATAGCTGTCAATTTTTCCTGTTTAGTAACGAGCTCGCCGGACTTAATGGTGTCTTGAACCCGCTCTTTTACTTCCTCCTTATAGGCAATGGTCGAAAAGATCCAGCAGGGGTATGAACCCGAGTTCCTTTGCTTTGTTGGTTAACGTTTTCTGGATTACTCTAGTCATGAGTTCACAGCGGAACGGCCACTTCGTTGGGACCTATAATTAAACCAGGTTCGTATTTGCTGTTTTGAGAATATCAGTATGTACATCATCGATGAGGGCATCATGAGGGCAGTGCTTACCTGTCTCCGCTTCTGAAGTGCTGCCCCAGAACTTTTTTCCTCGTCTGTACGGGGATCACTGGCAGGAGTATTTTAAACACTACATCCTCTTCAGGCCATCTTTTGAACCATTCAAGGTATATTGGATCCCAGTATTGGGAAACCTTGGCCTGTAGCTGCGCTAACAGAAACCCACTATAGTACGTCTCAAGGAACACCTTTTGTTCAGGTGTGGTCCAGACTGTTCCTGCCATCCTATCTGAGCTGAATTAATAATGATCACTCGATGAGACACAATTGTCACCGCTTGCCTTGGTGAGGTACATTTTTTGAATAGCAGCGTGATTTTAGGTTTTGTGCGGTCCTCGCAAGCCAAGCCTGAAAATTTAATGCTGACCACACATCTTCAACCAATCAGCAAGTGTATTCGCTGGATCGGAGTTGAAATCGCCTCGTAACTACTGCCGTCTGCTATTTTTTTACTCACACTCTACCCACCTCATTTGGAATGCAGAGCCCAAGGAACAACAATACGGCTTACCGTTTTCCACCCCCATTAACATTCACCATAAATGAGCTGGCTGCAGCATTGAAGTTGATTAGGGATCAAAGCCGTAAATTTTATTTTCAACCATTCATCTGACGGCTCATTAGACCTTCTGCTGCAGACCAGGGATATGATGATGGCGACCCCCCAGCGTTCACATTGCGTGAGCTGGGAGGAGCATTGACGTTAATTAGTGACCAAAATGGTATGTTCAATATTTCAATTGATCTGAATCTCGGCTCATCACACTCCTGATCAATAGCCATATTTGCTGCACACGATGGACATGATTCAGCGGAGCTGCCAAGTCCACTGACTGAATATGGAGCATGCGAGGCATGCATTTTCCGGGCACACCGCCGCCATTGCTATGCTTGTGGTATACCAATCACTTCGAGCCGCATTGCAACAGGCCTCTCCAAGTCGGACACTACCGGTACGTTTTCATAGTGCTACCCGGAGTTTACTGATTAATATATTCACTATACCAGTCACTGGCACCACACATTCCACCTATTGCATCTGCAACAGAAAGTGAACTGCGCAGGAGAGAGGGAGCAACTTTTGTGACGTAGTTGTGCGATGTTTGTCGGACTGATACATAGATTTCCAGCGCATGTTTTACATATATATATTGAGAGAATTGTGAATGTCAAGCTTGGGGAGATCGATTAACAGCCGTCCCAAAGTCGTGATCTTTTGTTTGCTCCTGAGGTTTTTACTTGTACAATATGATTTCATTGAAGTTCAGTTCTATTGGGTCGCAAGTCTATAACATAGTGATATCGGGAGATTTCTGATACAGTAGCTCATTTTACCTGTCCACAAGATATAAATCAGACTGTTGAAACTATTGTATTTGCAGCTGCAATGAGACTTATGTGCTACAATTTAATGTGTCCCGAAGTGGTGGCTGAGGCATTACATGAAATCTAACTCGAGTGCGGAAGCTTACCTACGCCTTTTCACACATTCCAGTTGACTGACACCTTGCATGACTCGGAAATGCAAGTACAAAACAACTGAGCAGTCCCATCAAGCTCGTTTAAAATCCAAGAAAAAACACTATGCCAGGCAAGTCTAGTAATGTGGTTCATTCTTTGCGCATCCACTACTGAACTCACAATCAACAGGAATCGGCAGCAAGAACGTGTCAAATCCCGCACTCGCTGGCGTCGCCGGGTTGGAGCTTCAGATGTGAGTCAATCGTTTTTGGTTGATTTGTCAGATTTTAATACACACTGTTTGTAAGAGACACTCGAACTACTCAATCAGCTGGACGATATCTGGTTCAATTCTGGTTATGAACCAGGTTCCGATCTGTATCAACGATTGGAGTCTGAAGGATTGAATGCTGTCTGTGCTGCTGACCGTCAAGGATGGAATTCACTGAAGCCAGAATACGAGGATGACGTTCGCGAGGTATGCAAACTCTTGGAGAAAGCACATGGCTTATCCACGTCAGCTGGGAGCTTAGAGGGTCCTTATACCGAGCAACTACGAGTGGGGGTATGTTCGGTGACTCGCCTCTTACAGTTTCGCATCCAGGCATGTGAGCAAATGATCCAGAAGATGGACTTATGTGTAGACTCATATTTTGAAGCTCTTCGCAAAGGGACACTTGATTGGCAATTAGCGCTTAGCATTGGCAAGTGATTATTGTAGTCTATGTATTTTGCATCTAGTGTTGAACATCACGTGATCCCTGTGCGGTATGTTGTTGTGTATCCTCATTGTTCAAATGTTCAATGCTGTAGTCCTCATGGGAAAAAGATGCCGCGAGCACGACAAGCTTACATGTGACTGGTATGTTCTCAATGCAAAAAATCAGGCATCTCAGCAGCGAATGCAAAACACTACTCAGGCTGAGGATCCAGAAAAAAGTCAAGTCTCAACTCACAAACATCGATCTTACACTTTGAAGGGACCGGCACAGGTCTCGACTCAGACAGAGTACTTTGGTGCTCCAAGAGGCTCTCACACGGCACCACCACCATCTGCTTTACATACTTCAGATACTTTTGCCTTTGATTTTGAGGCTCTTCTGGACTCTAACGAAGACGACGTCTACAATCAACACTTGGCTGAAACATCACTCAAAGTGAAAGTTTCACAGCGGAATCGACATTTAGGAGTAAGTGAAGATGATTTATCTTGGATACAATTACTGACGTGTTGTTTTGAAGGATAACCCATTGTTGACTTGAATGGATGATCGGGATCATTTTCTTTTAGAACTCCTCCGTCTGGAGGGTCGTGGTGATTTCTTACTTCAGGAAGCATGTCGAGGTTCTGCATGTTGCATGAATGCCCCTGAATTTCGATGTGAGGATTGTCTTGGTACTGAGCTCTATTGCAAGGCGTGCACGGTAGAAAGGCATATAGAAAATCCAACCCACAGAATTGAGGTAGGTGGGAATCAGCAGTGCTCACTACTTCGCGCTGATTGACTTGCACAGTACTGGAACAGCCAACATTTCGAAGACACTAACCTGCGGGATCTTGGGCTGCAAGTTCAACTTGGACACCCTCCTGGTGAACATTGTTCTAACCCGTCATTGGTTCATAACGACTTCGTGGTTCTTGACATCAACGGAGTGCACAATATTCCACTCCACTTCTGCGAGTGTCAAACAGCTCAATCTTGTACGACGCAACTCCTTCGCATGTGTTGGTTCCCAGCAACTACACTGGATCCGAAGACTACCACAACATTTCGACTACTCCACCACTTCCACATTCTTTCGTTCGAATCAAAGGCCTCCACATTTGAGTATTGGCAAACGCTCGCATGCTTGACCAACAACACAGGCGTTAACCCACAAAAGGTAAGTTCTCAATTTGAATTGACTCATTCATTCCTAATAACAGCTTGCAACGGCTCACTCACAGGATCACTATAATGCGCTCTTACGGATGGTAAAGGAATGGCGAAACCTCACCCTACTCAAACGTTCAGGACGGGGCCATGACCCTGGTGGGGTTGAGGCTACACAACATGGTGCATGTGCAGTGCTATGTCCTGCTTGCCCCCAACCGGGCAAAAATCTTCCTAATGGCTGGGAAGATACACCGTTTGAGGAAAGGTATGTCGTGTATTGGTCTAGTCCACATGGCGTGTTCGCTCACGGAATGATCTAGATGGAAATATTCGTTATTTCTGGCAATTGATGCTAATTTTCGACTGGCGTGCAAAAATGTATCATCCGACAAGGCTGACCCCGGTCTTAACAAAGGCTGGGCATACTTCGTCGAAGAGAAGGCATTCAAGAAGTTTCTTCTTGACACTGGAAAGCAGCCGCAAGAGGTGCGGCTTAGCCATATCATACTCGCTCACCCACTTGTCATACAGAAAAGTAGTTGCGCGAGCCATAACACTGTAAACTTGGCCGAGACTAAAAACTCTCGTGGTTTGGCAGCAACGGGGGCTGGCACTGTCGATTGTTCACGCCACAACATGAAGTGTCCTTGCGGCGTTGGTGATCTCCAGAAGGGCGAGAGGTAGGCGAGAGCTTTACTAATCATTGCACCACTCAACGTGTACTATAGGTATATTAATATGGACTATTTATTTTTCTCTACCCTGCAATACTCGAAGGATGTAGTCATGCTCAACGTGTCCTACGATATCGCGTGTCAATGGAGCAAGAATATATGGGATCGTATGGCTACATACCCACATCAAATGCATGTTGAACGCAGTACCAAAGAATTCGTGTTCCTCATTCCTAAGTTCCATCTTCCCGCGCACATCGCATTCTGCCAAGTCACGTACTCACACAACCTTATCAAAGGGATGGGACGCACTGATGGGGAGGCACCGGAACGCGGGTGGGCGAACATCAACCCTGTAGCAACAAGCACTCGCGAGATGGGCCCTGGCTCACACCACGACACCCTCGACGATCACTTTGGAGATTTTAACTGGAAGAAAGTGACCAATTTTCGTGAGTGGAACCTACATCATGTGATCGGAATCTCTTACTAACATTTTGGCGTAAAGACATCAGTCTATTCCGAAAGCTCGTGGCGGCCATACCTCAACGTGATCAGCACCTCATCGACTTCAACGATTTCAATGATACGTTAATTGCAGAACGACCAGAGGAAGTCACTCGGTGGAAGCTGGCTATTGAAGGCTGGGAAGCTGATAGATCACAGACGAATCCCTTTGAGGTTACAACTACAAGTGCGTTAGTTTTTTTATGTTGATCTTATGTTTCTCATTCTTTCGCAGCTATGTCTCTCGCAGCGGTACGACTGCATCTCTCGCAGAAGGAAGCAGAAGACCTGGAACACGGCCTCAACTACTCACTGCATATGGAGGTATCGTCAAGCGTTCTCGTGTCATCAGGTATTGAAATAGAGGACCAGCAGTAAGTTTATATTTTCGTTCCTTGCATCTTTATCCAAATGTTTTTAGACGCCGGCTGGAAAGAGAGTATGCTGCCTTGGGACCTCACTCAACGGACCTTCAGCTTACAAAATTGCAAGAACGGAGCAATGCGCTACAACGCAAAATCGAGCAATGGTGCAAGGTCCAGGTATTATACATTCCTATGGTCGTCCGTGTTCGCGCATCCGATACAGCTAGTACCATAAGCTCACGGGAAGAAAAACCCTATGAGGTCAAACTGTGGTTGCCGTCCCAGCTCAAAAGGGCTTCAAACGAATTTTATGAGGAACGTCTGTGCAGATACGAATGGG